GGCCGCGGCACCCCATTTAGCACACTTTGAGGCCGCGAACTTCCCGATGCAATTGTCTGAGTTTCAGGGAAACGCTTAGCAGAAACGGAAACCAGATTTGGAGCGTTCGAAGGCGAGTGTGCTGGTATACATTTCATCTCAATAGGCCACGGATACTAAGTATCGTTCCCTTGTGAAAAAAAACATCAGAAACTCCAAGCTAGATAGAATGTTTCATTAGAGGTAGCATATAGATATCCAAGCACGGTTGCGAGCAAATGCTAAACTAGTGCCGGCCTATCAGCAGAGAAAAAACAGTTGAGGTATACTGACTTGCAAGATTTTGAAGTCAAATTGCATCCGATATGGTACCAGCGTGCTTCTTCTTTGTCGAGGCTTGCATTAATGTAAAGATCATGAGAAAAGCTGGTTTTCGTCTTCGGGGACCGAAGCAAAAGGCATGCCATGGAATGCCTCTCTTGTCGAAGTGGCTGCTCTGGATATTCATATGTTGATAAAGTCGGTGATGTACGCTGTGGCCATATTCTCAACGAATTCTGAGAGTAAATTTCAACCTTGAAGGTGGGTTTTACTTCAAAAAGCGATTGCACAGGGTACGCTAATTCTCAGAATTGAACAAACTTGAGGGTTGAACCTATTTCGAAAAACGATTAACCCGTATTTATCAACAAACTCTGAAGGTAAACCCTATCCCTAGTAAGAAATCCACCCCAGAAAGCGTTATCCTTAATTATGAATTTGATTTATGAAGGTAAAATCAGCACTAGCATAAAGCAAGGTCAAACTTACCTAACACTTAGCTCAAACATAAAGTGATTTCTCAATGTGCCAATCATTCCTAACGATACCGTTTCACTGTACGATACAATAAATAGTGTTTAAAATCAATAACATTGCAAATTCTGTGAGCCTTTTCGTTTTGTCCACTCATGTTACAAAAATCAAAATAGAAAAATTTTGATTGGTCAGCTTTGAGTGTATTTAGTTGCGTTACGATAGTTCGATCATGTATTATATCATTGAGAGTACTCAATGGAAAAAAAATCCAGTTGAGCCTCATATCACAAAAATTTCTCGAGCCGTGGTTGGTGTATGCCGCATCAAAGCTCTCAGATGAAAAGTACTTTATTCACAATCGAATTTTTTAACCTAAAACGGATGATAACATCAGACGAAAATATGAAAAAAAGCACAGAAATTTTGAGATAATTGTGTTCGTTGTCAAAACAATATCGCTAGGACTGAGTGGTGCATCGAAAGATCACCCTATGCTTATACGAGGTGTAGGATAGACTCAACCTTGCGCCTCAATGCTAGAATTAAATTTACCCTGATCAATCGCGTTTACGAATACGAATTAATCGCTTTTTGGGGTATAGTTTACTTTTAAGGGTTGGATTTACCAGACTTTGTTGATCGAATACGGTCGCTGGCCTCGGAGTGCAGTCCTTATCCGCGGGACGCTTTTTTGAGGAAAGCTGTGTTGTGAATGGAAGTCCTAGGCAACCAGCATACTATGATTCCTGCTATTCTTGCAATTCTTGTGACTGTGATTCCTACGATTTCCAGACCTCCTATGCGCCGCGATAACGCTGCGCCTTGTCGTTCGAGAATGATGAATGCTATCGTTTTTTTCTCACAGTATAGCGGGCGGAGCTTTGCCAACGTTTGCCAACGTATGTGCGTTGCAGTTTTTGGCAGCTAGAGAGTACAAAAACTAATGCTTTAGAGTGGAAGTTCGACAAGTTTTTCAACGTGTTCAAATGTCTGCACGGCCACGCCCGCTATACGCATGGAAAACGCCTATATAAATTGCTGTGTAGTTGCTTTTCGTACAATTGTCAATATCAAATCCTCGCCTCCCATTATAATACTTTGTGAGTGTCGACAAACGTTTGAAAGCGTCGAAGAACGGTTGTGTTATCACAGACGTACAACTGTTTGTTACCCCCGATGTCATGGGTAACCGCGCAAGTTACATGTGCGTCTTGTAGTTCCAAAGCAATTCATCTATTATGAGACTAAAAAGCTCGAGAACGCTCTACAGTGTGTGAACCTTTTCTTCTTTCATTCCAAGTAAGATCACTTAAGATATAATACGGATCACAACTGTAGAGTTATTTATCAACGCAGAGTTCTTATCAATTGCAGTTTCGGGTGCACCGGCGTCTCCTTTCCCGCGTGGGACTCTGCACCTCTTCTACAAACATGCTCACTAATCATTTGCAATCGATTGAGGTTCCGCCTTTCCCACGCCTGAAGTGGGAAGTGATCAGAGAGCATATTTGCGAAAGAGGAGCAGAGTGCAGATGGGGCTGCCGCGCGAGAGCGGAGAGCTACTGCACCCGACACTGCGTTTGATAAGCCCTGTATACAAAGCGTACTTGTGTCTTCTAGAAAGTAAATCATATAAAGCCTAATAAGTTTTGGTCTGCCTCCTAACATATTCGTTTCTTCAAGTTCAGATTGTTGATTGTTGATTGATGTTGATTGGTAATCAATTGAGCAAATTCTTGTGAAAAGTGACACTGTGGATGATGGAACACTCATAATTACATGGTAAGAACGGGAAGATATTGTATACTATAAAACTCGTTTCATTCAATTTCGCCTTACGCAACATCAAGCGACAAAGCGCGGCGTTTTTGTGGCACATAGGAAGTTTAGGAATTGCAGGAATCATTTAAATAATATGGCCGCTCACATGAACACTGCTATTTGAGGGTTTTGAGCATGCGGCCCTCCGTGCAGTAACGAACAATGCTTTTTAAGGACTCCATGTAATACAGAACTTGTAAATAAAAGGTGTTACCATGGTCATACCTGAGGTTTATTTGAGGTTTCTATAAAAGCGTTTTGTAGACGAGGGCTGTAGCATTGAGATAAGCAGACATCACCGACTCAGCAACATTTACATCATCTCTTATGGATTTCAATCAAAGGAACAGTTCTTGCCGGACGCACCCATTTTGTTTCAAGAACAAGTTTATGTACGGTGACATGCTCTGATGTGTTCTTTCATAACCGAGCAAAGTTTTAAAGCACCAATGAAAATAAAAAGCTTTTTCACAACGCAAAGGGGCTTTAGTACTGACAGTATTGCTTGAATCAACAATCTCAATGTTTGTCTGTCTGCATGTATGTTCCGAGCAGATAATCGATTCGTTTCTGAGCTGATCCGCACCATCTTTTCACACAGACACTTTAGGGCTACAATTTTTATCAATGAGGTTCAATCGAGTTTCAAAACATTTGAATTTTGAGATTTATTAAATTTTGACGGATTTTTGTATGTCATAACTTTGCGGAAAGGAAGACTCTCAGATTAAATGCTGAAAAGCCAATTTAAAATGCGCCCAAAATCCTTTGTGTTGCACTATATTTATTTTATTTGACTGAATTCAGAGTTCTTCCAGAGCTTGACATAAAATTTTTAAAAAGGAAACGAAATTGGGGTAAGAGAAGGAAAACATGGATTGGACATTCCGACAATTATTCGAGTGGTCATTAAGAACTCGGAACAGAAACACCATTGCTAAAAAAATTTTGCACGAAAAACCGTTTAGAGCTCCTAACTATATTCTAAGTGAGATGATGATAGGTCTGAACGGCACGGACTTTCGGTACAACCTTATGCATATGCGTCAAAAATGGTAAATTTGAAAGGCACAAATGCAAATTTACATGCAGATGTTGTGCCGGATGTGTAGAGAAACGGATATTCCAGCAGGTTTTAATAACTTGGCTGTGTCTTTTGAATCGTCAATGTCCACATCCTTGGACGAGTGGAACAATTTTTTCCTAGCCAGGCCTAAATGTTCGCGCAAACTGCAAACTCGCGCTTTCTTGCAGGCGGTAATCAAAATTTTGGGGCGTAGCAAAACCATCAGCGAGCGGTACTTCCTTTCTGTCGCATCTTCCTCTAGCGTCAGCAATGCAGAATTTTTCACAGGTAATCGTCAAATAATTTTTTTCAGCGAGCGTTGGCAAGAAAACGCAAGATTGTTGAGGGCCGCACGGTCCTTTGTGAAAGCACAGCCCGTTGATACCCTTCCTGTCAGGAAGTACCCAAACGCGGGTGATTAAAGGCAGCGGCTTGGCAGATTCTCGACATGAAGTTTTTTTTGCATACCTGGAGTGTATCGAGGCGCTCGTTCAAGGAATCCACCTTGAAGAAAGAAGGCGAAAATGGCATTTTGAGGCCTATTCTTTGGACGAGTAGAACACTTCTCGCCATGGTTAAAGAGGCAGAATCGTTGCCAGATACTGCAGTCATAACATTGCGGCATGCCTCCTTTCACAGGGCAGGGGAGACAAGCTCTTCCGCGCGAATTAGAATGGCTTACGCGCAACAGGCTTAGGGGCAGTTTTCTACGCAAGGGCAGCATGCTGTGCGCTAGGACATGCTCTGTTCTCATGTTTGGAGTGCAAGCAACCTTCCACGTTAAAAATTCGGAATGTTCAGTTTTGGCGAGTTGCTGTCTTTGAAGGAGCGTCCAGGCAAATCTGGACCTATGGGGCTCTCACGTGGAAAGTAATCTTGACGCCCTAAATAGCGTCAAGATTACTTTCCATGTGAGAGCCCCATAGGTCCAGATTTGCCTGGACGCTGCCTTCAAACCATCGATGATACTATGCCTTATGGAGTCTTACCTTTCTGCGTAAAAAGAGTCCGAGCGTTTGTTGAAACTTTGGCCAGCGCTCGCTAAAAGGAATTATTTGAAAAGCGCAAGAATTCTATATTGCTGCCCGCTGGCAGAGCATGCGATACCGCTCGTTGAAGGTTTGAAGGTTTGGCCATCCCTCAAAATTCTGCTGACCGCCTGCAAGAAAAGCGCGAGTTTGCGGTCCGCCTGCCTTTTTTCAAATTGGCCACTTCGATTTTTGACCATTCCCTTGTGAAAATGACAGCTCTAGGTAAGCAAAAAGGGTTCATAATGTAGCTCAAACTAAGATTTCTTCATCTGTAAACACTGGTTCCCACCAATCTGCCCTTACAGTATCTACAAGTAAACTTACATGGATTGGAGTTTGTGGATATGGAAGATGTTTTCAACAGAATAAACCTCATGTACGAGTTTTCTACATTGAACAACATCACAGCTGCTAAAAACCACTTCAAAAGAATCGATATAGTCTTTTTGCATATATTGAACGGACGAAATATGCCCTGGGAAAACCGCTTACGTAAGTTATGCTTAATCTTTTCTCGATGTATGCCTTCTTCGCGCAAGCATAGTAATGATTTCGCGACCCATCATCCTATGTTGGCCATCTAACTTGTAAAACTATCCATTCCATAAACCTTCCCATGTAAGAGTAGTAAGTTTGGAAGTAGAATTAGTAGGAAGTTTATTATGAGCCAAAACTGCATTGCATTGCTCTTTGTTTATGCTAAGTACCACCAGAGCTTCTCAAGAGTTCAAACTGAAGATTTTAGAAATTAAGTAGGCTGCCCTCTAGCGATTGGCTCTTGGGTACAATAAGTACGGTGTCCCCACTCACGATTCAATCGCGCTCTCGAGGGCAGATACGCGGTCCGCCCGAACAGCGCTTTTCACGCATGGGAAAGGGGTTATATCTTCTGAGGCTGCAAAGCACAGTCTCGGACATACATAGCTCATCCAGGGGAACCGAGAATATGAACATTCCGAGGTGTCATTCTGCCGAGCCGCTGCTTTACGCTTCAAAAGATAGTGTACATCTCGTCTCAAAAAGCCACTTTGACCAGACTTCTTTCCCTTGTTAGCTTTGGTCAAAACTGACAAACTTTCAAATTTAGATATGGTTCACTGCAAAAAACTTGCTGTCTTCGTCTTTGCGGCTAAGCTAAACACGACATTTTAACCTCGAGTCATTTGTAACTTAATATGTGAGATTGCACACTAGGCTCTATTAGCGACGGCACCCTTACTGGTAATTTTCCAGTAAAACATTTTCTAGCCGAATAAACTGTAGAAATGTGTTCTATTGACTAACATGTAACCAACAAAAATAAAAGAGGCAGGGAAACAAGCAGAAATCACTGGAAATGAGCAGGTTCTAGTTTTGCTGTTCGTTAATTAGCGTGTTTAGTGTGCACTAGGCATATTAAGTTACGAATGACTCGACGATAGAAATGTTGTGTTGAGCTTAGCTTAGCACCAAATAAGCGTAAAAGCTACAAGCTGAGCTTTTCGTTCAAAATCCGCCTTTTAATACACTTGATTCAACATTTAATGAGGTTGAAGGCGAGGTGACACTCGCGACGCATTCTGCGCCTCCCTCGCGAACGCGCTTTCTGACTATTCTTCAGCCTTGATAAGGCCTCGAAGCAGCCGTCAAACCCTTAAAGCCGATGATACTTTTTCAAAATGTTATATCATTTATTTTCAGAAATCTTCACGACTTTGCTACATTTTCCAATGTTTTTGCCAAACCTTCCCAGGTAAACATTTTGTACTTACACAAAACATCATCGAAATAAAAATGTGTTTGTGCCTTTTATGCATGTATGCGCAATGTATGTAGCGGCAGTGAAATCTTGCTCCATTCAAGCTATGTCGTAATTAGTCCGGCACAGGGGTGGCAAACAGATAATTAAATATTAACTTCGACTTGACCGACGAATTCCACGACTTTCCACTTGATCGTGCCAAGCGTCCAAATAGAGCGCGCTGTTTTGAGGTCACCGGTCTCGTTGCTATCGCGGGATCATTAGGACCAAAATGTTGCTAAGTAAACTTAGTATGGGACAGTATGCAGAAATTTTGAAAAACATGTGGACTAAAAGTTTGGCGATACCCTAGTTTGGATAAGCCTGACGGTAGCTTAATTTGGATATAATAGGTATGAGTTGGGCACGCTATAGATATGAGCAGGGTTGAGCGTGGGGCCAGGCGCCGACCTGGGGGGTCGTACTGGGGTAAGACAGAGGGGGGGGGGGGGAGGGTCGTGATTAGGAATCAAATTCGTTCGATTAAGGAGATACTACGATTAAGGTGAAGAAGAAAAGTGCTAGTTTAGTGGATATCGCGACCTTACCAGTACTGAAGGAATGAACGGTCTTAAACAGCATACTGATTGATTCCACAATCGAAGTTTCGGCCAAAACACAAATCTTCATCTTCTACCTTAACATATTATAAATTCATCAAGGAAGCTTGCTGTGTGAAATGGGTATCATTTCCGAGCACGTCAAATTACCTCTATGAGCCCTACAAACCATTATTTACTGCATTATCTAGTGTTTCTCAACGACTAAAAAGCGTGATTTTCAAACATGATTAACTTGTTTTCAAAAGTGAGAAAAGTCAATTTTTTGTACTCGTAACAAAGTATTGTTCCCTACTAGTCTAGGCTAAAAATCGCGCTTTGTATCGCTTGCAAATAGTGGAGTAAAAAATAATGCCAAAATTCCCACCGGCGCGTTTTTCGCCATGACTGCTTCAACTCCACGGATTACCACAAAGCCGAAACAAGTCGAATCAATTCCAAACACTTACTGTGGAATCTTCGAGGGTTGTGCTAGCGATTCACATAAAACTTGAATAAAAAAGCTTCTTCAATGATAAAGTTAATCGGGTCAGGCGCAACCCCACAAAAGGTCAGGCCGCCTGAGCTTTTGAGGGGTTGCGCCTGACCCGATTAACTTGTTTTCAAAATCTAAAAATCGCACCATTTCTGCTATGAGTATTGAACTCAAAGCCTCTTCTTGCAATACTGCAAATTTGGAGCCAAACAATACACCCCTGTGGGAATTATAGCTCTAAAAGTAGGGCTATCCAAAATCCAAAACTTGCCGTCAAGTTGCGTGTGCTGTGCAATCGCAGAAAGTCGACCTAGAGACCTCCAAAAAACAGGAACCTCCCAAAAACGGCTGATCCCTTCGAATTGTCACAGCCTGAGGTCCTGGAGGTGAAGCAGAGGGGTTGTTTAGGGGCTTTCACTGGGGGGGGGGTCGTTTTGGAAAGACTTGTGCCTGACCTCTTGCTCAACCCTGGATATGAGTTAGGCACGCTTTCTGTTCAAATATGTGTTTCACAAAATTCCCTATTAGATACAATTTTATACTTTGCTCCAAGACCCTATTGCATATAACACACCATGGCGTCGCATCGCCACCAGTTAAAAACGAGTGTTTTTCTTTTAAAAAATTTCTAGGAAATAAGCTTGCCACAATTTTCAGTCACAAGATCTAAGATACTTCGCAGTATGCTCATTTGCCCTTATGCGTTCATACAAACGAGTCATATGGCTGCAATGAGGCGGTTACTCGAAGGAAAAGATATTATAGTCGTCCTCACCCCACTAGTCGGTCGGTGGTCGAATTCAAATTCGAATTGTAGCAGGCCACCCGCGGCAGAGCGCGGCAGACCGCCCCTCAGCCAACCGCTTGCACATGAGCTTTCCTTTTGATTTCTTCGTGTTTCATTGCTATCTCTCGTATTGCGGCAGTGTTCTTGATCAAATTTTTAGATTTGTACGAACTATTGTTCTGTGCAATTGTACTCGTTTGTTTTACTTTTTCTCCAGGTAAACCGGGAAGAATAGAGATTTGTGGATGAGAAATATCTTTTCCGGTAAGTGAATTAGGCACAAATGTGATTTGATGAGTTTGTGATGATTGTGTCAAGTTTTTCGTCAGAATTTTGGACTATTTTTTTGCGATAGGGCTGAAATCTTCTCAAAAAGTGTTTGTTTCAAAGAGCTAGTGGTAAGAAATCTGAAAATCTGATAAGAACATTGCCGTAATACGAGAGACAGCAAAGAAACACGAAGAAAATAGGAAAAAGGCTCGTGCAAGCGGTTGGCTGAGGGGCGGTCTCCCGCGCTCTGCCGCGGCCGGCCTGCTCCACTTCAAATTCAAATTCGACCACCGACCGACTAGTGGGGTGAGGACGACTATATTAGGTATCGTACTCGAATATTCGGAGGTAACGTGCGAGGAAGATCGTGTTTTGTATGTTAGTTGTGCAGTAACATGTTGAGCAGATAAGTATGGTTTATGGGTGCGTAACACGTCATTTTCTTGCTTTTTTCGAAACAATTTTGAGCTCGACATTTGCCACCCTCGTTCCAGATCCTAATTTTCTCGTCCTTCAGACGTTCAAGGATGTCATAATAAATAAAAGCGACTGGATGGTTTCTATTTTTGTCGATGTTCTCCATACTATGGCATTCATTTTTGACCAAAGTTTGCGATAAACTAATTGCCTTTTGCTGTCATAAGGAGAATTTGAGCAAATAGTAAAGCAATCTAAAATTTGCATGTAACTTGCAAATTTGCAGTTATCTTAACAAAATTTGCTATTAGGTTGCCCATAAGTCTTTTCATTTTTAAGTTTTTGCGATAAGTCGTACACTTCTTATCCCAAATAGACATCAGGCTACCATTTGATAGGACAAAGTAAGCTCTATAAGATGGCGTTTATGGTTTTGCACAAGCTTTGGTCCATCTCGAGTTTTGAACCAAAATCTAAAAAGTTTCGGATGACCAGAAAATTGAAAATTTTTTATATCTTTATTCAGAAAGGTCCTACAGATTTCTTACTCGCTCAAGCGTATACACTCCACATCAGACACTCATTTGTGCTGCTGCTGTCTTTTTTTATTGGCTAGAAATCAAGAAACCGAAAATTTTCATGTCTTTACCAAAGTGATGCTGTGCTTTTCTTATACTAACAGTTGTATACTGCCCTTAAAAGTACAACCGTAAATTTTCAGCTCTCTAGAAGCTCTAGTTTTCAAGAAAAGTTGAGTTAAGCGTGAAAAACCTGAGTGGAAAGCTAAATTTGATATTTCTCAGGAATCAGAGCTTATAGAGAGCTGTATATTTACGGTTGTACTTCTAAGGACTTGTAGTATACAACTGTCAGTGTAAGAACAGCACAGCATCACTTTGGTAAAAAATGTAAATTTTCGGTTTCTTGATATCTAGCTGATAAAAAATACAGCAACAAATATGCATTAGGTGGGTCTAAAAGTTTTGTCACTTTTCAATCCATCGGCAAACACGCTAGAATGAAGATAAACAAACACTCTGAAATGTATCCAATGCAGAATTTCTTCCTCTTTCCAGCTACTAAACTCCCATTCTTTTTTATTGCGAGAGTGACGAGATATTTGCTGCAATTTACAACCACTCGTTTTCACCATGTCCAACTTTCGCTAATTTTTGAAATCTTTGTATGAGACTTTCGGAGAAGCCCTAATAACCAGCAGATAGGGCAAATCTTTTGCCAACTTATGCAATTTTTTTCTTTTTTTCAGGTGGTTTTTCAGATTTTTGCTAAATAATTTTCTAAAAGTCTTGTGTTTTGGAAAAATTGCACGACCTGTTATTGCACCAAACACTGCAAACCTACAGAAAACTGAGATTTCAACAACGGTTATTATTACCGCTACCATTACAAGGCAAAGCGATTTTCGCTTCAAATTATGAAGATTTCGGAACATAAATTACGTCGGTGCACACTCTCAAAATTGAGAAATACTGCGATTTCCCCCACAAATTTCGCCTGTCTCGGCAGAAAAAAACAAGTGCTAGAAAGAGGAGAAAAATTTACATCGAATGGTGACTAAAGTGTTTAACATTTTATGTTCTACGAGGTTAAAATAGGCTGAATGTAAAATTTGGTCACTTCAAAAAATAAATCGTAGAAATTTTGAAGGACAAGCCGTAGGCCCACAAAAAATTGCTTCTGATGGCAAAAGGTTATCTGCTGATTATCAGAGCTCCTCCAAAAGTCTCATACAAAATTTTTCAAAACTGGCGAAAGTTGGACATGGTAAAAACGAGTTGATGTAATTTCCAGCAAATATCTCGTCACTCTCGTAACGGAACACAATGGGAGTTCATCATTCGGAGAGAGGAAGAAGTTCTGCCTCGGATACATTTTGAAGTGTTTGTTTATCTTCATTCTAGCGTGTTTGCCGATAGATTGAAGAAACTGACAAAACTTTTGCACTAACCTATCATAAGATATAAGAAGTTTAAATGGACAGCAAAAGCTCGAAGGAAGTTGCGTGACTTAATTGAACTAGCTTTTTTGACGTGCACACGTGTAAAGGCCTGTGAATGTTAGGATTCTTGGAAGGGGAAGAAATTCTGCATTGGATATTTTGAAGCATTTGTTTACTTTCATTCTAGCGTGTTTGCCGATGGATTGAAAAAAAACTGACAAGACTTTCGGACCCATCTAATGTATGCGTGAGCGAGTGAAAGATTTGTAGGACTCTTCTCAATAAAATATAAAAAAATTTCAATTTTCTGGGCAACCAAAACTTTTTAGATTTTGGTTTCAAATTTGAGCTGGATCGAAGCTGATGCAAAAGCATAAACGCATTTTTATAGAGCTTGCTTTGCTCTATCGAATGGCATCCTGATGTCTATTTAGAAGAAATTTTACACTCATTACAGCGAAAACTAAGAAATGAAAAGGCTTA